CTATTTTGATCAGCAGTTTATTTCGAAGTGCTTTTTCTTTTCCGGTCAAAGCCGCCGGCTTACAAAAAGTAGTTTAGGGTATTTGTCACCTTAATTTTTCGAAAACGAAATGCGAACCAGAAAAGTAATTGTGTCGAAATTTTAGCTTTTGGAAGAAAATGGTTTAAATTGAGTTTGAACTTTTTTATTTTATATGCTGCGATGGTTAGTCTTTTTGCTGGTGTATATGAAGTTATTTCATCAACATGAGCTTCTTAGGTAATCAAGAAAAGTTCAATTTCAATTGGTTTGCATTCGATAAAGGAATCACTACTGCTCTTTGGACCAGGCATTTGGTTTTAAAATATATAACTTATAGTTAAAATATTAACTCGTCATTTTAAGTGGAAGTAACATCTTTTGTGCAGCCGCTCGGTGTAACACAGGGGTACAGAAAAAAATGTGTTGAAAAAATTCAATTTTTGATGTTAATTGAGTTTATGATTGCAATAAAAAAGAAATTGAACGCTTTTATCGACTAGATCCTTTGGAACAATTCGCGGCAGGAATTTTTTAAAAATAACTTGGAGCCTTATTGTGAAATTTCTTAGCCCTTCGGTGGCCACGGTTAAAATCAAATTCAAAGGGTCTGCTCCAACGAATAAGGCTAATCATTTCTCAAATTGAAATTAGTTAGATAAAAGTGGAGCCTAATTGTGAAATGTCTAAGCCTTTTAGGGGCTAAAATCAAATCGAAGAATGCTCCAATCTTAAAATAGCTCGGCGAATTTAATCAAATTTATGAGTTTGAGTTTGATACCGTCGATTATTTCTCAAAAAGCTTGAAGTCTAATTGCAAAATGTCTTGGCTTTTGCGGCTCACATTTAATTTGTCAAAATTCAGTCGAAAAAAAGGAAGAAATTTAGCAGTTTCTCTAGCCTGTGTCCTGTGTCGCAAAAAGCTGGCAGCCTTTAAGATCCCTTGCTTGAAAAAACATTATGGCAAGCTCTAAGCTTTAAAAAGGGGATTGGAGGTTGATTAGATATGTAATCAATTCGTTAATATTTAGGATGGGACTCGATAGCTTGCCACAATGCTTTTTCATTGAGAACTTCCACACAACATTTCGTGCAAAAAATTGAAGTCCAAAAAAAAGAGGAAAAATAGGTTAAGAGATAGACCTGATATAGTCAGAGTTTTTCAGGACGTTTCTTTTTTTTAAGAGAAGAGAAATTGGCGATTGCACTTCAATTTCTGCACAAGATGTTGTTTAAATTATTTGTTGGTGGGAATTTGTAAAGGTAGTCTTGTTCAAATTTTTGCTAAAAAAGTTGTCAGGGGAAACTCTGTGCAAACTAGTCCAAATTTTCCCACCAAAAGTCTTTGTATATATAAGAACTTTTTCTCGACCACTTATCGATTTAATCGAAAATTACTTAATTAATTAAAGACGAATAAAAGCTTTGTTGAACATGAAACTTGTGGTTTACTGAAAGAAAACAAAAGATGAGACAGGAAAACTAATCACTTTACTTTATTGACTTGTTACTAAATTTAGATGATAATAACACAAGACAACAAAGAAATAATATTTAAGTTTATTGGCATTGCAATAAAAATAGAATTTGATTTTTTTTAAAAAAATTGGCGCATGCGTATTTTGAGCGCCGAATTTTTCTAAGTTTTTTGGCGGGAAAACTTGCCACATTTGAACAGATTTTACTTACAGAAAAAACTGGTGCGTACTGCGACAGCCCTTACTATGAATTGGACCGACAAACAATCACTAAATAACAACTTTATAGTCGTGGTTTTTTGGGCGATTAAATCATTTAGCTCTGACTAGAATTGCGCTCTCAATAAAACTTGTTTTTCTCTTGGATCACAATCTGTCTTGTTTAATTCGTGCTTGAAACATTGAGATATTCTTTGGTCAGTCTGCAAGAAGATGAAAATAACCACGAATCAACAAATGCAGCAATTTTTTCAGAAATACCATATCTTTTTCAAGCAATAAACAAGACAGAAACATGTATTTGGTAACGTTACTTAAATATAAATCGGTATTCAAATCTTCAAGGATTGGATGTGAAGATACATATAAACGTGCACGTAACCTAGATTTAGCGATAAATTCAACGCGAACAGCGGCAAATATTCCAGTTGATTTGAGGAATTTTGTTACTACTGTAGCTGTCAACATTATAATTGTTACAGCATTTGATTTGGATTTTGGATTTTAGATTTTACACTTTTCGCCTGCTTGTGTCCAGTTCAGGAATTAAACTATTTCAATTTGAGTCGTGAGTCGAGAGTTGACAAGTCAGGCAAAAACAAGTAGTTGATCTTAATATTCGGCAATTCCTTGGAGACAACGAACGATCTCACAAGTAATAATTAGACAACTTTAGTTTCTGATTGTTTGAATTTTGTAGTCACTTAAAAAGAGACACGTAATTCTATGCACTTGTTTAAATATTCGACGAGAAAGCCAAAAAAGCAACACACAATCACCATATCTAAAAGCTTTTGTACGCCCCTAACCTTGCTAAAGACTTGAAAGGAAATTATTGAATTTAAACCTGCACGTGAAATTTCCTGGAATTCGGTGAACAATAGCATTTTAACAACAATAAGAAATAAAAATGACTAAGCGGGGTTTTTACAAGAATGGAAAGCTACAGATAACTCCTTTGACAAAACGTATTTTTGAATTCACTCTCTGGTAAATAGGTTTGCTAAAAGTATATGACAAGCAACTTATTCCTTTCACACATTCTTTCCTAATGAAAATCTTTGAGTTAATGAGGCTCAAACTAGATTTCTCTAGTGTTACACCACTGCTGAGGCCCTTTGATGTCAATTTTCTGAAATTTGAATTAAGGCGGAAGTA